GCAAAATACTCTTCATGATTATGTCTACGAGTTATGATTATGTCAAATATTTAGGTGTGTATATAGAAAAGTGGAAGGAGAGTATTGAAAGGTTTTGAAAGTTCTGCTCCAGAAAGGAGCACTGTCACCATTTCATTCTATGCCAAACTTGCTGGCATGGAAATGCCAAAAATATTTTATTCAGAATTCCAAAACTACCAAAAAGCACAAGTACACCACCAGATCTATCTATGTGCCAAGTTTGGTGAATAAATAGTGAACAGTTTTAGAGTTCAGCTCCGGAAAAGAGCACAACCACAATTTCAAGCTTAGTGAAAATTGTTGCCATGGAAACGCCAAAAATATTTTATTCAGAATACCAAAACTACCAAAAGGCACAAGTACACCACCAGATCCATCTATGTGCCAAGTTTGGTGAAGAAATATTGAACGGTTTTAGAGTTCTGCTCCGGAAAAGACAAATTTGCATGTACCACCAATTCCAGGCTAAGTGAAACTTGTTGCCATGGAAATGCAAACAAGAAGACAAAGTCATCAATATCCCCCGCAATGGCAAAATATTCTTCATGATTATGTCTACGAGTTATGATTATGTCCAATATTTAGGTGTGTATATAGAAAAGTGGAAGGGGGTATTGAAAGGTTTTTAAAGTTCTGCTCCAGAAAGCAGCACTATCACCAATTTCAGTCAAACTTGTTGCCATGGAAATGCCAAAAATATTTTATTCAGAATTCCAAAACAACCAAAAGGCACCACTACACCACTAGATCTATCTATGTGCCAAGTTTGGTGAAGAAATATTGAACGGTTTTAGAGTTCTGCTCCGGAAAAGAGCACTAACACTAATTTCAGGCTAAGTCAAACTTGTTGCCATGGAAACGCCAAAAATATTTAATTCAGAATTCCAAAACTACCAAAAGGCACCAGTACACCACCAGATCCATGTATGTGCCAAGTTTGGTGAAGAAATATTGAACGGTTTTCGAGTTCTGCTCCAGAAAAGACAAATGTGCATGGACGGACGGACGCACGCGACGCACGGATGGAGTCCATTTTAATACCCCCCGCCAAACGCGTTGCGGGGGATAAAAATCTGCAAGTAGCAAAAGGCACCACTTCAAGATCTGCCTCGCATATCTGCCAAGTTTTGCTGAAAGATATTGAGAAGTTTTCGAGTTGTGCTCCGGAAACGAAGCCCACCCCTCACTTTTGGGACTAACTCCGAATCGTTTCCATGGAAACCGGGAAAAATAAAAATGCCAAAAATCTGCAAATAGCAAAAGGCACAACTTTTGGATCTGTTTGACATATCTGCCAAGTTTTGTTGAAAAATATTATACGGTTTTTGAGTTGTGCTCCGGAAACGAAAGCAATCCTTCTTTAAGACTAAGTCCAAAACGTTTCCATGGAAACCAAGAAAAATAAAAATGCCAAAAATCTGCAAATAGCAAAAGGCACCACTTAAGGTTCTGTTTGATATATCTACCAAGTCTTGTTGAAAAATATTGAACGGTTTTTGAGTTATGCTCCGGAAACGAAGCCAACCCTTCTTTAAGACTAAGTCCAAAACGTTTCCATGGAAACCGAGAAAAATAAAAATGACAATAATCTGTAAATAGCAAAAGGCACCGCCTTAGTCTATCTTTGACATATCTACCAATTTTTGCTGAAAAATATCGAACGGTCTTGGAGTTATGCTCCGGAAACAAAATGATTACGGGCGGACAGACGGACGAGGCGACGACTATATCCCACCGCATTACATGCCGGTGGGATAATAAACCATATTAATGAAGCCTTAAAAAAATAAAACAAGAGTCATCAGAAGATGACATATCCCCCCGGCCCCCATATCTTTGAAAGAACAAATCATCTGACAGTTACTTAAAGTCCAGCTTGATTTTAGACTAAGTGCAAATCGTTTCCATGGAAATCATGAAAAAAATAAATGACAAAAATCTGCAAATAGCAAAAGGCACCACTTTGGGATCTGCCTCACATATCTGCCAAGTTTTGCTGAAAGATATTAAGAAGTTTTCGCGTTGTGCTCTGGAAACAAAACCTACCCCTCCCTTTTGAGACTAAGTCCAAATTGTTTTCATGGAAACTGAGAAAATAATAAATCACAAATATCTGCAAATAGCAAAAGGCACCACTTTGGCATCTGCCTGACATATCTGCCAAGTTTTGCTGAAAGATATTAAGAAGTTTTCCAGTTGTGTTCCGGAAACGAAACCCATCCCTTCCTTTTTGAGACTAAGTCCGAATCATTTCCATGGAAACCGAGAAAATAATAAATCACAAATATCTGCAAATAGCAAAAGGCACAACTTCAAGATCTGCCTCACATATCTGCCAAGTTTTGCTGAAAGATATAGAGAGGTTTTTGAGTTGTGCTCCGGAAACGAAGCCCACCCCTCACTTTTGGGATGAAGTCCGAATCGTTTCCATGGAAACCGGGAAAAATAAAAATGCCAAAAATCTGCAAATAGCAAAAGGCACCACTTAAGGTTCTGTTTCATACATCTACCAAGTTTTGTTGAAAAATATTGAACGGTTCTTGAGTTATGCTCCGGAAACGAAGCCCACCCCTCACTTTTGGGATTAAGTCCGAATCGTTTCCATGGAAACCGGAAAAATAAAATACCAAAATCTGCAAATAGCAAAAGGCACCACTTAAGGTTCTGTTTGATATATCTACCAAGTCTTGTTGAAAAATATTGAACGGTTCTTGAGTTATGCTCCGAAAGCGAAGCCCACCCCTCACTTTTGGGATTAAGTCCGAATCATTTCCATGGAAACCGGAAAAATAAAATGCCAAAAATCTGTAAATAGCAAAAGGCACAACTTTAGGATCTGTTTGATATATCTACCAAGTTTTGTTGAAAAATATTATACGGTTTTTGAGTTGTGCTCCGGAAACGAAAGCAATCCTTACTTTTTGAGACTAAGTCCAAAATGTTTCCATGGAAACCAAGAAAAATAAAAATGCCAAAAATCTGCAAATAGCAAAAGGCACCACTTAAGGTTCTGTTTCATACATCTACCAAGTTTTGTTGAAAAATATTGAACGGTTCTTGAGTTATGCTCCGGAAACGAAGCCCACCCCTCACTTTTGGGATTAAGTCCGAATCGTTTCCATGGAAACCGGGAAAAATAAAAATACCAAAAATCTGCAAATAGCAAAAGGCACAACTTTAGGATCTGTTTGATATATCTACCAAGTTTTGTTGAAAAATATTGAATGGTTCTTGAGTTATGCTCCGGAAACGAAAGCAATCCTTACTTTTTGAGACTAAGACCAAAATGTTTCCATAGAAACCGGGAAAAATAAAAATGACAAAAATCTGCAAATACCAAAAGGCACCCCTCATGGTTCTGTTTGATATATCTACCAACTTTTGTTGAAAAATATTGAACGGTTCTTGAGTTATGCTCCGAAACGGCCCACCCCTCACTTTTGGGACTAAGTCTGAATTGTTTCCATGGAAACCGGAAAAATAAAATGCCAAAAATCTGTAAATAGCAAAAGGCACAACTTTAGGATCTGTTTGATATATCTACCAAGTTTTGTTGAAAAATATTGAATGGTTCTTGAGTTATGCTCCGGAAACGAAGCCCACCCTTCTTTAAGACTAAGTCCAAAACGTTTCCATGGAAACCGAGAAAAATAAAAATGACAATTATCTGTAAATAGCAAAAGGCACCACCTTAGGTTATTTTTGACATATCTACCAATTTTGGTTAAAAAATATCGAACGGTCTTTGAGTTATGGTCCGGAAACAAAATGATTACGGACGGACGGACGGACGGACGGACGGACAGACGGACGAGGCGACGACTATATCCCACCGCATTATATGCCGGTGGGATAAAAATGAAATAGCTCACTTTATCACTTGAGCCTGACCCTTGACCTTGACCCTGTTGATAATTTCTGTATGGCAAAAGATGACAACATGCTAATGATACACAAAGGAAACCTTAAAATGGCTAACTCTATTGCTTGACTCTGGGCCTTAACCGTGACCCTGACATTTCGGTTTGGTAAAAAGATTAAAATATGCTATTGTTACACAAAGAAATCCTTTTAATATCCCTAACGCTGTAACCGTGACCCCTCACTAAGACCTTAGTCAAAATTCTTATTGGATATAAAGATAAAAAACATATTAATGATATCTACAAAGTAAACGAAAAAAAAAAGAATTGCTCACTCTATCACTTGACCCGGACCCTGTTGAACATTTCTGTTCTGTAAAAAGATATGCTAACCCTACACAAAGACAAAGAAAATCCTTTCAATATTCCTAACTCTGTAACTGTGACCCCTGACCACTGTATTGGGGTGAAAAGATAGAAATATGCTAACTACCATGCAATTTGAGTGGTGGTGTGTTATCCTGTGCATAACGCTCAGGTCACGAATCATTAGAAGTTAAGGAACGTCAAGGTCGGAGAGTCCTAGGATGGGTGACCGTGTTTGGCTCCACAACGAAGGTCTCACCTAAGGCAAGTGAGTTTGTTCAAAATTGCCTCTGTTCACCAAGCAGATAATGGGTACCGGTTTGGATAAAGTCATATGACTATACCCTTCTAGCGGCCAATAGCTTGGGTTATCTAGGGTAATGATAATCAGATTCTGAATACAGCGTCCAGTGAGCAACTAGTAAGATGAATACTAGGGGCTATATATATGAATTATTATTATTATCGTTACTATTACATTGTCAATTGGTCTTGTTGATAGTTGTCAAGGTGGGAATGGTGTGTGTGGCAATTATACTGACGTGGTCATGGTTACAATCAGATCAGAATTCTCTGAGTATGCACATTTTACAGATGAATTATTGAAAATGTAAAAGTTGAAATGAAGCACCATTAACCTGAAATGAAGTAAGTTCAAAAGGTGAAAAGTTAATGGTCAGATTAATGGACAATAGGCCATTACTGGTTGTGCATCCCCCCAGCCCCCCAAAAAATAAAAAAAATAACAAATGATATAGTGTTTATTAACACTTATGAAGTATTTGGATTATCCATATAAGGATTATTCGTGTCCATCCAGCTGTAAACAAAACCAAAAGGCGGCATCATTTTCATCCAATATTAACAATCAAGGTAGCAAGAAGACAGTCATTATTGTCCCCTGCAATGGTAAAATACTCTTCATGGCCCCCACAAATTTGAAAGAACAAATCATCTGACAGTTACTTTATTTTTTTTAAGACTAATTCCATGTTTAGGCTATTAAATCATAAAATAAAAATGCCCAAAATCTGCAAATAGCAAAAGGCACTACTTCAAGATCTGTTTGATATATCTGTCAAGTTTTATTGATAGTTATTGAGCATTTTTGTTTTACTCTTTTGAAACGAAATCCATCCCTTTTTCAGACTTAAGCCATGGAAATTGAGAAATCTGTAAATAGCAAAATACACAAATTTAGGCTCTGTTTGATATATCTACCAATTCTTGTTGAAAGATAGTGAAGAGTTTTTGAGTTGTGCTCCGGAAACGAAGTGATTACATATGGACAGATGGACGAGGCGCTGACTATGTGCCAGTCGATTCTCATGTCGCAGGAACTACGTCCATACTGGCTGATGCATGCTATTTTATGAACGAAACTTGTGGATCATAACAACATGGTACAGTTGTTGCCTGACATGGCATGTCTTTTACACGGACCATATACATGTTAACCAATTATTAAATACTCAAAATATATTCTAGGGAATTACATTGTATTTTAAACGATTAATGTTATTGCTGGCAGTTGGCCCATAACATTGTTTAGAATTATCTTGAATATACTTTATACCTTTGCATGATTAAGTAATACAATCCTTCCAAATTTACAACATACCTGTGGATCATAACAACACAGTTGTTGCCTGACATGATGTGTGCTGGGCCTTTGGCACATGCAGTTTTTATAGAGGGCAGTCACGTGACCTGCCTCTGCATCATTTGCAGGGACTACATGTGTCAAAGCCCAGGATGTAACTGTCAGACCACAAGTGCTGGAAAGTATGGCGCAGTGTTAGTGACAAACAAATTGTAGCCTGTGACACTCAGAAGATGATTAGAATTCAAGTTAACTGAGCAAGAAACAGGAACATATCAAGTTCCAATAGTAGCTAAACATATGAGAACAATACATTTCATTTTGAACACATGTATCTCAAATGTTCAGTTGTGCCATAAAAGCTGTTCATCAAATTAACAATTTAAAGTTCAGTTGGTTGTAAATAATGGCAGCATGATATTATCAGTGCCATAATGCATGATCAGTAAAAACAATATTTCCTCTTCAGATAGTCATTATAATCTGCAGAAGACCTGGCAAAGGAGTGAGTGAGTTTAGTTTTACGCCGCACTCAGAAATATTCCAGCTATATGGCGGCGGTCTGACTAAGAGTAGAAGACGATGACAAACTGTACAAAAAATGAATAGAGTGGATCTATTCAACCTTTCTGAGGGCTGGTACCAGACAATCCAGTGATCAACAGCATGAACATCAATCTGCGCAATTAGGAACCGGTGACATGTGTCAACCAAGTCAGCGAGCCTGACCACCCGATCCCGTTAGTCACCTCTTACAACAAGCATAGTTGCCTTTTGTGGCAAGCATGAGTTGCTGAAGACCTATTCTACCCCGGATCTTCACGGGTCCCTTGCAAAGGAAGTGCTGAGAGATGATTCTTCTGTTTGCTTGACCACAGGCATCATATCACCATGAGGAGCTGCAAGAAATAGAATTCAGAATCACATTTTCAGAGACCAATGATAACTTTCTATAAAGGCACCATGGCTAACTTTCAGGTTTATGCACAGGTATTAAATACTGAACAACAAGAAGACAAAGTCATCAATATCCCCCTCAATGGCAAAATACTCTTCATGATTATGTCTACGAGTTATGATTATGTCAAATATTTAGGTGTGTATATAGAAAAGTGGAAGGAGAGTATTGAAAGGTTTTGAAAGTTCTGCTCCAGAAAGGAGCACTATCACCAATTTCAGTCTAAGTCAAACTTCTTGCCATGGAAACGCCAAAAATATTTTATTCAGAATTCCAAAACTACCAAAAGGCACCAGTACACCACCAGATCTGTCTATGTGCCAAGTTTGGTGAAGAAATATTGAACGGTTTTAGAGTTCTGCCACGGAAAAGAGCACTATCACCAATTTCAGTCTAAGTCGAAATTGTTGCCATGGAAACGCCAAAAATATTTTATTCAGAATTCCAAAACTACCAAAAGGCACCACTACACCACCAGATCTATCTATGTGCCAAGTTTGGTGAAGAGACATTGAACGGTTTTAGAGTTCTGCTCCGGAAAAGAGCACTACCACTAATTTCAGTTTAAGTCAAACTTGTTGCCATGGAAACGCCAAAAATATTTTATTCAGAATTCCAAAACTACCAAAAGGCACAAGTACACCACCAGATCTATCTATGTGCCAAGTTTGGTGAAGAAATAGTGAACAGTTTTAGAGTTCAGCTCCGGAAAAGAGCACTACTACAATTTCAGGCTAAGTCAAACTTGTTGCCATGGAAACGCCAAAAATATTTTATTCAGAATTCCAAAACTACCAAAAGGCACAAGTACACCACCAGATCTATCTATGTGCCAAGTTTGGTAAAGAAATGGTGAACAGTTTTAGAGTTCTGCTCCGGAAAAGAGCACTACCACCAATTTCAGTCAAAGTCGAACTTGTTGCCATGGAAACGCCAAAAATATTTAATTCAGAATTCCAAAACTACCAAAAGGCACCAGTACACCACCAGATCCATGTATGTGCCAAGTTTGGTGAAGAAATATTGAATGGTTTTAGAGTTCTGCTCCGGAAAAGACAAATGTGCACGCACGGACGGACGGACGGACGCACAGACGGAGTCCATTTTAATACCCCCCCCGCAAAACGTGTTGCGGGGGATAAAAAAAGAAACTTCACATTTGGAGAATTAAATTATATTGAAATCGGGTTGTTACAAGGTTGTTTATATATGAGTCAATACCAAAATGCATAATGGCCAGGTCTAACCTGATGCATCTGTCCATTGTTTTGAATTCAGTGGTCTGCAAATATAGTCTGTGAGAAAACAGGTTGACTGTTGAGAAATATGCTGTGTGTTTCCAGACTAGGCCATGAAAAGAATCATGACTATTCCATGCTATGTCAACTTTTGCTCTGATGACCTGTCTGATATAGGAACTGATAAATGTATATGTATACAACAGCTTGTTGAGAACATCAAGATCCTTGTACCTGACTGACTCAACTAGAACACTGAACTAACGCAACAAGATTAACTATGTTGTGGCAATCCTTGTTGATACAGTCATCCCTCGCTGTAACTCATGTCTTAGGGCCCATGGATGACCACCCGCGTTATGAGGCACCAGCATTATACACATAACATAGCATTAAGGTCAAGTAAAATCATATTTTCCATGTGCATAGCATAACTGCTGTTTCGTGTATTATGCCCACTGAAAACTATGTTGCATCATCAGGGGTGAACAACACGATTAACTTGAGCAAAACAGCACATTTGGTTATATGCTATTCCCAATGACGTGAAGATGTGTATTTGCTTTTATTTCTATGGGAGCCACAGATTACCCTGCGTTTTAACCAAATTCGTGGTATTGCAAAGAGCATTATTGCTAGGGATGACTGTAGTAGGATGAAGCTGCAAAGGACAATAGTGGCTTCTTCATTTGATGAAGATACATTTTGTGAGCTGTGGATGCTCTTAGTGACTGATCAGTTTGTTTTTTACACACCTGTGTGTGAGGAAATCTGGTATCAAATATATTTGTGAGATACATTTTCAGGTTCCTGATTGGCTGCTCCATGATGATGCCTCCATAGTAAGGTCAGATTATTAGTACTTTCTTGATTGTAATAATTTATTTGGGCTTAAATCAAATGCAGACCTGTTACGCATGTCAAACATATTGATAACTATTTGTTATCTACCTGATATTTTTGTTATTGCGTCGCAAGCCAGTATTTATGCAACAAAATGAACTTAGACTAAATAGTAACATATACTAGGGGTCATTAATAAAGGGTCAAATGATATATAGCAAATGTAAAGAAAAGTTTCTCAGAAATAATAGAACTAAGAATGTCATCGTAATGTTTAATGTGTTTACAAATGTGACACATCTTGACATACAGACAAAAAGTTCAAACAGCGCGCTAGCAAACATCAGTTGTACAGACTAACCACCCAAAATGAAAATGACAAACATGAAGCACTCAGTCATTCAATTTCTTGTGTACCCTCCTAGCGCGTCCAAGACACAGGTGCACCTTGTTCTCATGCCCCTTATCAAGTTCATAAAGAAAGCTTGCTCAATCACATTCTATTCCTCTACAAGATCTCTGCGAGTTCTGGGAGATCCACTGGTGCTGGGTGATGTGTGTATACACGTTGACCAAGTTCATTCCAGGCATGATCAATTGGCCACTCCATACGCTCTACACCCTGCTGCCTAAGGAATTCCATGACCATCCTGGCCCATTGAGGCCTAGCGTTATTGTCTTATAGTAAAGAGGGTCAACCATAAAGCCATGCATAGCTTCTCAGAAATGGTACTGCTATAGGAGCCAGAATCTCATTCCGATAACACTGTCCGGTAAGATTACCGTTGACCATATGCAGTGAAGTACGTCCGGTAGGAGTTATCCCTGTCCAAACAATGACCGACCATCCTCCAAATTGGTCATGCGTGACCACATTTGTGATTCGCAGTCCATTGCGATGATAAATCCTCTACCGACCATGATGGAAGGACAAATTGAATCGGTTTTCATCTGTGATGAGCACACGAGACTTTTGAACATAACAACGTATGGAATGGATTTACAACTTCTTTAATATTTACAACACAACGTTTCTGGGCTACTTCTTGACCCTTCATCAGGTGAATGACAGAAAATGGTACGAGCAAAATATATAGTATGTACAGGAAGCCAGTGAGATAGTATTACCGATTGAGATGTACAGAGAAAGTGATGTGTTTCGATTGAGATTTGCAGAGTTCAAAGAGATTAAGTGGTATGTTTATGCAATGGATGTACAGAATGTTTATACAGTCAGCTCTCGTTAATCCGACACTTGTGGTTGCAGAGAAATATGTCGGATTAACGGAAATGTCGGATTAATGAAAATGTCGGATTAATGTATTTGTGTGAAAATATCAATGTTTACTAAATGTCATGATCGTCATACTGTTGCATGCATATCAGAAATGGTAGATCTAGTTATTTTCATCGTACGTAAAAAGATTCACAGAAATAAAAAATACTAACAATACACACTTGTTATCATTTATTAACATTCGTAGATGGCATAACATACATATATAATCACATAAGCGAACCGTTTCATATCTATTTCATGACCACATTGGCACAAAACTCACGTTTGTTTTTACCGCATAACAGCTGCCATTATGACCCGGATGTTGAATATGTTACAGTTTCCATACAACTAATTCCATAATAGCATGTGGACGTCTAATGTACAATCAGGCGTGTATCATAACATATATAATTTATAACTTGAAAAAGTCTTTGATGGTCATTAACATCAAACACGTCTAAGTAGTGTGTCAGAAATGTTTGCAAAGAGTTCAACGATGTTTTGGCCTCAGATAGCTTGAAGCATTGGAATCAGTCGTAGAGACGCTCAACCACTAATCAGACTGCTTCAGGAGGTCAGATACGGTTAATCGTCCAATCTTCACACCAAACTTCTGCTCCGCAAAAGTGATGACTTCTTGTTGTGTTGTCCGGGGTTTGACTTTCTTCCAAAGGAGATTTATTTCTTGATCAATGGGCATAACTTCTACAAACATCTTGTGATGAAAACTCATGTCGGTTGTAAACATTTTATACAGCTCGCTCTACTGTTATTTCTTGATTAAATCGTCTCAATTAATTAACCTGTGTTCCTAATTAACAAGTGTGATGTTCACCGACGTCAGTGTCAAGTAGCCAGTAAGGCACCCGCACACGCTAATTACCACTCACGTGTGATTGTTTGTATACGGTCGGATCATCCGACCGGCTGTGTTGATTGTCGGATTAACGAATGTTTTTACAATGTATTTACAATAATCAGTTGCTAGATTGGTGTGTCGGAGTCGGAATGCGAAAAAAACGGATTAACGAGAGTAATTATCACTGTTTTAAATGGTGCCCTAATTTTTTGTCGGATTAACGTGATTGTCGGATTAATGAGTGTCGGATTAACGAGAGCTGACTGTACAATGAAAAGGATAAGCATGATAGGATGATTGGAAGCCACTTATGAAAACAATGATAGGAAAACACATATATGAAAACACACATTAAAGCTTGTACAGTGATTTATACGCGTACGGACACACGCACAGATGAAATAATTAAAAAGCACTCAATACATACATCATGGAGAAAATTTATTACAGCCCACGCGGGTACTGGAAAGCGCGGACGCCATGCCGAAACTCGCCAAAGCCGCTCGAGTCTCGGAAGACGTCGCCAAAGCTTGGCTTAAAAAACAAGCCATCTGGCAAGTCTACCTACCGACGCCTCGGTACATCCAGGGAAGAAAATTTGACATTTCAACGCCGAATCGCGTCCACCAAGCCGACCTCCTGTTTCTCCCTCACGACAGGGTGAGACGCAAAACCTACAAGTACGCCCTGACCGTCGTCGACGTCGACAGTCGCTACAA